TGAGAGGAGAACTCCGAATTCAGAGGAATAACGTTGCTCATTCCAGGTAACCCTTTGATAAAAGGGGAGCATTGCTCAATACTACCACGAGGACAGGCCATGGAGCGAAGATGGTGGTTACAGGGGAATTTAGGAAGGTGAAGATAAGGGCAGATGTAAGACCCCCAATGGAAATTAGTAGATACTGAGGTATCACTCTGATCCGGACAAATGCACTGACGCCCTCTCTGGATCACATCCCTTAGGTCTTTTACTCACCTTCCTTTGACCCGCGATACTTCCTACCCCTACCCGCGGGCAGGGGAGGAGCGCAAGCCGCGACACTAGCCTTCTGAGCCAGTCTCTCATCCTCAAACTGAGACGGGCTAGGACCCCTGGGTTGTTCGGGCTCAGAAAGCGAGATGTTAAGGAAGGGAGTCTTAGAGGACGTCTCACCCATAGAGAGATAGCTGACCAGTGTCTCTCTATAGGGACATCTTCTCATAACCGCTTTTGCGCATCGCATCGATGTTGTTATAACTTGTATGCTGGAATCGATGGATGCGTGAAGAAAAACGGCCTCTTCCATTCCTTCTCAATCTTTATATGAAAAAACAGGAAGAAAGGAAGGCTCACCTGAGCTGGAGGGTTTATGGCCAGAAAAATAACGTTCATCGAGATATTTCATGACATCGCTTCTTCACCCGCTTCACGGCAAGTAAAGCCTCGCCGTGGTGCGAGCCATAATTTCCAAAAGCTCATCATACGCAGGGCAGGAGAATTGGGAAGGCTCAGCCTCAGCTTCTTTGCCCTCCTCAGCTATTTCCTGCTTTTGCTGGGCTGATCCCAGCAGAGCAATGGCCTCTGAATCAGACAATGTTAATGAAATAACATCATCATCCAGCGGCTCTCTCTCGTGCACAGCTGACGATCACGAAAGGGAAACCCCCTTCAAACTCATCGGCCAGATCCACCTGCGATCCCCACGAGCTCTTAGAACACTAATATGTTGCGTAGGTGTAAACATACAATATACACTCTCAATTAGATCATCCGAATACGAATTCATAGATACTAAACATGGTAGGGTTATATATATGTAAGCTGACAGGAGTGTGTTTCGATTATAAGCCTGCATAACAGTATACAATTTCAAAGACAAAATACACGATGACAATAATATACCCAATGACCTGAAGGATCATGTGTGTTCATTCAAAGAAAGGTTTTCCTATTAATTAATTAGCAAAGAAAAGTCCTTCCCTTGTGGATTTTCCCTATGGGCAAGGAAGCGATTTTCTTCACCTAAATTCCAGGAGGTCGTAAATGTATCGGGTGTCAGGGTTACCATGGAACCAGGGGCCTGTTCGGCTTCCTGGGGTGTTACAGAGTATTTGTTAAATCTAGCTAACAAAATATATATTGTGTGTTTGAGTGGTCCAGACGCTACATAAGGTTTGTAGAAAACTGTAATCAATATTTATTCAAGTCCTCTAACCTGAATCTTTTGGTGAATTAACTTAATTATATCTGTCTTAAGTCATATGTTTAACCAGCAATAGTAATTAAACATGGGGTCAATAGACATATTTTTTTTTACAGCTGAAGAGCAAAAACACAAAGAAAATCAGTCCTGTTGGGGCCGAGTGGCTTTGGAAAATAAATCGCTGCACGTTTCAGATGAAAAAAACGGACTTCTATTTATGAAAATATCACAGTTAGGAGATTTATAGCGCGTTACCATTAAAACAATGCAAATATATTTTTGGTAGCACAATCTGATAGGTAGCATAGGCTATCGGTACACCTGCTCACTCTGTTTCTCCATTGGCGCCTTCTTTGTCCATTTTTTTTTTGTACTTTGTACTTTTGGGGAAAAATATATGTAGCTGAATACTTTAGTTTTATTCTACTGAAGTAAAAGTAAAAGTACCACAATTTAATTATACTCAAGTAGAAAAAATTAAAAACAAAAGTATTTGTACTTTCCACCTCTGGTAATTAGTAATTCCTTCTGAAGAAATTGGTAATAATTGTGTCACTAGTGCTTTACCATGACCTTCACTTTAGAATTAATTATACATTATGCATTATTCATATTAAATTTGAACCTGTATAAAGTAGTTCTTAGTTCTTCTTGGTGAGGTATGGAAAAAATAGTAGCTCCTGATTAACTAATAGTAAACTACCATATTAGATTAAGCACTATTATTTACCAATTCATTATTTAGAAATTTCTTGTTAGTTACTAGTGTTTACTAGAGTGCTAGTATTGTGTTACACATGTGTTCTTGTGTAGTTATTCATTAATGACGGAACAGTATTCTAAAGTGTTACCCAATCTACTAAATGGGAACCTTCATGAAGGGTTATCAACTGCCATTATGTTTATTGATTCTTTGTTTTAGATTGTGAATCGTGAAGGACTTGGGGCAACTTTTGTTGTATTAAATGGTGCTACATAAATAAATTCATTGAAATTAACTCTGGACATCAAGAGACAAACAGAGGCTGTTGTATGTTCATTGTTGATCCATAAAACATAGTGAAAAAGGTAACACAAGAAGTATCTCCTTTTGGAAAATAACCTGCAAACTGCCAAACCACCAGTCGGTACTATTCTCTTTAAAATGAGCAGAAGAACTTTGTGCAAACTGTTTAATGGCATAATAAACAAACAAAACACCTCACAGATGTCACAACAGAACAAGTCTGATTACAGTTTACAGTACATACATCTTTTAAATTTGGTTACATACAGCACATCAAACATTACAGGTTGATGTTTATTTATATAGTATTTTTTACAAAACTCATTGCTCATAACTCACTGTCATTAAGGAGGAGAATGTAAAAAAAAAAAATCACTTAAGGATTAACAATGAAAGAACAATAAATAAGTTATACAAAATACAAAATAAGTTTGTATAAAAATATACACCTTACTTCTGCATCCCGCCAGTTAAGATGGAGGGAATGCTAATGCGGGGATGCAGTGGTTTAGATCTCACTCTCATATGTGTGTAAGTACGTTTTTAAAGAGAGGATCTCCTCATAGGTCCTGCTAGTGTGGCGATAAAAGTCCTGTAAGTAACTCTACGTCTCTTATACGTGCTGTGTGTGTCTTTATCAGTTCCTCGACCCACTTTGTCTTGTCCTCTGAACTCTGGATGAAGAGAAGTGATAAACACTCAAAAAGCAGTTCTTGTCTGTTATTGTACAGCAAACCTGCACAATTTTAACTCACTCAAATTATTCAGCTTCTGCAACAAAGGATATACTGGGTTAATTTCATCCTATTTTCTATGTGCCACATCTGTGACTTGCTGTTGTGTACCACTACAGACAATAAAAATGATTAAAGTTGACATGAATGTAACCTGGGGCAGGTGGGGTTGGTAAATGGTTTTATTAGCAGAATTTCTAATAGCTCAATACTTGCTTATTTACAGTACTATCAATCATAACAGTGGCACTGTCAGACTGCCCATATAAGCTTCCATTCACAAATATATTTACTGTAAACGTGTCTTAATCAACAGCATGGCAGAGGAGAGGAGAAAAGAGAAGAGAAGAGGACTCACATTACAGCTTTCATCATTATCTGATCGGTGTGGAAGGATGAAAGAGAACACACTGAGAGGACCAACACAGGAGTCAACAGTCTGTGTGTAATCCAGACAACTTGTAACCACAATGTAGTAATGACTTGGGATTTGCACAGAGCCACTGACATACCTGTAAACAAAGGAAGAGTTACATACTCAGACTGAAGGGTTATATAAATTCAGGTACATCTTAGGACTTGTACCCCTTGTTGTCAACTAGTCTTCAATCAGATAACTTCAGTTGCAGCATGGATCTGGCAATGGAGATAAGCATGCATTCATCACACACACCACAGACATTCTCTTCACTCACATATTGTTTGTTAAAGTAGCATTGCCAGAAACAGCAAAGACTGCTGATGCTGCATGTGGATTCATTCACATAAGATAAACACTGACTCAAAAACCTGTAAACTGCTGGTGTTCTTAAATTAGCTCATTTATAAGCGATAAGTCTAAAACTGTGAAGACAACTTACTGTTTTATTGTCTCTGCTGAATCCCTAAGACCATTGTAGTCATAGTCGAAGATGGGTCCAACAACCACATTCACTCCATTTCTCTCACTAGCATAACGTCTCACAAGTGATTTCTGGAAATAACCCCACACACCTGAAACAACCAAACAAAGCTATAAGAGAGAGATATATAGACAGAAATATGAATTGTTAAAAGACAGATAGGAAGAGATATGGATCTTTAAAGGACAGAACAAAGAGATTAGAGATTAGCACAATGATTTGAATTTCAGAATTTCTAAGTACTGTGAAGTACAAGTTTGTTGCAAATCTGAAAATGAATATGAAACATGGAAGAGAAGAAAAATCAAAAGACGATCTGGCCTCTTGTACATGAGTGTTGTTTTTATTTCTAATTTTTTTTTAACTCAACGAGGCATCAGATGTTTGCTCTTACTTCCTTTGGGAGGTTTCAGACTAGTTTCTGCATAGGGAAACTAATGTATATCACCTCTCTAAGAATCAACATAATAATTATTAACTGAAAGTGTGATGTTGCAATCCTACTGTAATTCTTAAAATAGGGGGGAACATTTTTAAATCTACTGGTTGTATTATTGTTGTTGTTATTATTATTAATATTATTTTCTCATCAATATGAATAAATCAACCTAAATAAGTTCATTTATACCAACATTTTTTAAATGAGTTTAATCAGGCAGAAATAGTTCTTTAAGTTAACAACTACAAGTTACTACGGTGGCCCAGTAGTGCACAACACAATGAAATCTCCACAACACAACGAAATCGCTGCAGCACAACAGAAACAAGCTACAACTACGGTGACCGGGAGGGGACATGTTCAGTTGTATCTCTAAAGACACTATTAGGTTATGGGGTAATGCAATCAAGAATATATGGAGAATTGTTTAAGTATTTAAAAAAGACAAGATTAATGGAAAGAGTTTGAAGTTTTGAATTTTGTATTTATGTAAAAAATTTGGTTTATTTTATTATTATTATTATTTAAAAAAAAAATCTGTAATAGTTGAATAACTCATAGCTGAACCGTGTACGTTTCACACTCCAGACCAGTAGGTGGCAGACATGCACCTTTAACGTTGGTTTGCCAATCTGCCAAAAAACTTGAGAGAAGACGACAACGATGACGACATGTTCAGTTCACTTATTTCTGTCGTGGCCACGACATATTAACTCGAGATATTAATTTGTGGGAATGTCATATTAACTTGTGGGATCGTGATATGTCGTGGCCACGAGATCATTTTGTTGCGGTAAAGGCATCCTTATGTCGTGGCCATGCGATGTTAAGTCATGGCCTCGAGATCCTATGTTGAGGGAACAACATCCATTTCTCGTGGCCACGACTTCTTATGTTGAGGGAACGGTATATTTTTCTCATGGCCATGAGTTTAATGCATAAACAAACCTGCGTGACCATAGCAACCTACAATTATCAGAGATGGATAAAACATATTTATCCATCCCACAGTCTTGTAAATTCGTTAACTGATCATGTCTTTTTATTTAATATTTGTATATTACTATTATTATTATATGTATTATTATTATTATTAAACTGTAATATAATAATATTATTATATTAGCTAGTTTAGGACTATATTTTAATATTTATTGTTGTATTTACCATTTCAAGTGTATTGCTTTACCTAATTAACGTTCTGTATAATTATTATTAATATGCTACCATATATTTTGCAAATACTGTAAACGCCTGACAGTTATGCCAATAAAATTTTGACTTTATGATTCTGCCAGTGTGTAACGATAAATGAGCGTGTTGTGTTCATTCATTTACAAATTCATTCCTCAACTAAATTATAGTCTATTAATTAGCTGAAATAAAAAAAATATATGTTAAATTCAACCTTTAAACTGCACTTCCAGTAAAAAAATGTAAAAAAAAAAAATCACTTAAGGATTAACAATGAAAGAACAATAAATAAGTTATACAAAATACAAAATAAGTTTGTATAAAAATATACACCTTACTTCTGCATCCCGCCAGTTAAGATGGAGGGAATGCTAATGCGGGGCTGCAGTGGTTTAGATCTCACTCTCATATGTGTGTAAGTACGTTTTTAAAGAGAGGATCTCCTCATAGGTCCTGCTAGTGTGGCGATAAAAGTCCAGTCCTGTAAGTAACTCTACGTCTCTTATACGTGCTGTGTGTGTCTTTATCAGTTCCTCGACCCACTTTGTCTTGTCCTCTGAACTCTGGATGAAGAGAAGTGATAAACACTCAAAAAGCAGTTCTTGTCTGTTATTGTACAGCAAACCTGCACAATTTTAACTCACTCAAATTATTCAGCTTCTGCAACAAAGGATATACTGGGTTAATTTCATCCTATTTTCTATGTGCCACATCTGTGACTTGCTGTTGTGTACCACTACAGACAATAAAAATGATTAAAGTTGACATGAATGTAACCTGGGGCAGGTGGGGTTGGTAAATGGTTTTATTAGCAGAATTTCTAATAGCTCAATACTTGCTTATTTACAGTACTATCAATCATAACAGTGGCACTGTCAGACTGCCCATATAAGCTTCCATTCACAAATATATTTACTGTAAACGTGTCTTAATCAACAGCATGGCAGAGGAGAGGAGAAAAGAGAAGAGAAGAGGACTCACATTACAGCTTTCATCATTATCTGATCGGTGTGGAAGGATGAAAGAGAACACACTGAGAGGACCAACACAGGAGTCAACAGTCTGTGTGTAATCCAGACAACTTGTAACCACAATGTAGTAATGACTTGGGATTTGCACAGAGCCACTGACATACCTGTAAACAAAGGAAGAGTTACATACTCAGACTGAAGGGTTATATAAATTCAGGTACATCTTAGGACTTGTACCCCTTGTTGTCAACTAGTCTTCAATCAGATAACTTCAGTTGCAGCATGGATCTGGCAATGGAGATAAGCATGCATTCATCACACACACCACAGACATTCTCTTCACTCACATATTGTTTGTTAAAGTAGCATTGCCAGAAACAGCAAAGACTGCTGATGCTGCATGTGGATTCATTCACATAAGATAAACACTGACTCAAAAACCTGTAAACTGCTGGTGTTCTTAAATTAGCTCATTTATAAGCGATAAGTCTAAAACTGTGAAGACAACTTACTGTTTTATTGTCTCTGCTGAATCCCTAAGACCATTGTAGTCATAGTCGAAGATGGGTCCAACAACCACATTCACTCCATTTCTCTCACTAGCATAACGTCTCACAAGTGATTTCTGGAAATAACCCCACACACCTGAAACAACCAAACAAAGCTATAAGAGAGAGATATATAGACAGAAATATGAATTGTTAAAAGACAGATAGGAAGAGATATGGATCTTTAAAGGACAGAACAAAGAGATTAGAGATTAGCACAATGATTTGAATTTCAGAATTTCTAAGTACTGTGAAGTACAAGTTTGTTGCAAATCTGAAAATGAATATGAAACATGGAAGAGAAGAAAAATCAAAAGACGATCTGGCCTCTTGTACATGAGTGTTGTTTTTATTTCTAATTTTTTTTTAACTCAACGAGGCATCAGATGTTTGCTCTTACTTCCTTTGGGAGGTTTCAGACTAGTTTCTGCATAGGGAAACTAATGTATATCACCTCTCTAAGAATCAACATAATAATTATTAACTGAAAGTGTGATGTTGCAATCCTACTGTAATTCTTAAAATAGGGGGGAACATTTTTAAATCTACTGGTTGTATTATTGTTGTTGTTATTATTATTAATATTATTTTCTCATCAATATGAATAAATCAACCTAAATAAGTTCATTTATACCAACATTTTTTAAATGAGTTTAATCAGGCAGAAATAGTTCTTTAAGTTAACAACTACAAGTTACTACGGTGGCCCAGTAGTGCACAACACAATGAAATCTCCACAACACAACGAAATCGCTGCAGCACAACAGAAACAAGCTACAACTACGGTGACCGGGAGGGGACATATTCAGTTGTATCTCTAAAGACACTATTAGGTTATGGGGTAATGCAATCAAGAATATATGGAGAATTGTTTAAGTATTTAAAAAAGACAAGATTAATGGAAAGAGTTTGAAGTTTTGAATTTTGTATTTATGTAAAAAATTTGGTTTATTTTATTATTATTATTATTTAAAAAAAAAATCTGTAATAGTTGAATAACTCATAGCTGAACCGTGTACGTTTCACACTCCAGACCAGTAGGTGGCAGACATGCACCTTTAACGTTGGTTTGCCAATCTGCCAAAAAACTTGAGAGAAGACGACAACGATGACGACATGTTCAGTTCACTTATTTCTGTCGTGGCCACGACATATTAACTCGAGATATTAATTTGTGGGAATGTCATATTAACTTGTGGGATCGTGATATGTCGTGGCCACGAGATCATTTTGTTGCGGTAAAGGCATCCTTATGTCGTGGCCATGCGATGTTAAGTCATGGCCTCGAGATCCTATGTTGAGGGAACAACATCCATTTCTTGTGGCCACGACTTCTTATGTTGAGGGAACGGTATATTTTTCTCATGGCCATGAGTTTAATGCATAAACAAACCTGCGTGACCATAGCAACCTACAATTATCAGAGATGGATAAAACATATTTATCCATCCCACAGTCTTGTAAATTCGTTAACTGATCATGTCTTTTTATTTAATATTTGTATATTACTATTATTATTATATGTATTATTATTATTATTAAACTGTAATATAATAATATTATTATATTAGCTAGTTTAGGACTATATTTTAATATTTATTGTTGTATTTACCATTTCAAGTGTATTGCTTTACCTAATTAACGTTCTGTATAATTATTATTAATATGCTACCATATATTTTGCAAATACTGTAAACGCCTGACAGTTATGCCAATAAAATTTTGACTTTATGATTCTGCCAGTGTGTAACGATAAATGAGCGTGTTGTGTTCATTCATTTACAAATTCATTCCTCAACTAAATTATAGTCTATTAATTAGCTGAAATAAAAAAAATATATGTTAAATTCAACCTTTAAACTGCACTTCCAGTAAAAAGTCCAGTCATACAGCATAATCAAAGCATGTCGAGCATTTACAGTAGGCAATTATTTACAAAACTATTCTGAACATTAAAGGGTTAGTTCACCCAAAAATGAAAATTAGCCAATAAATTACTTACCCTCAAGTCATCCTAGGTGTATATGACTTTCTTCTTGCAGACGAATTCAGTTGGAGTTATATAAAAAATTGTCTTTGATCTTTCAAGCTGTTTCATGGCACTCAGCGGGTGTTGCATGCTTCAGTCCAAAACAAGTTAAATAAAAAGCACCCATCCATAAAAAAAGTGTTTCACATGGCTCCGGAGGGAACCCGTGTGCAAACCCGACCTCCATACGTCATCCGCCCAGAACTGCTTCCCTTTACAACAGTGAGCGCAAGCTACATTAAAGTGATTATTAAGTTTTGAATATGGATATTTTTCTTACAAAAACGCATCGATTCGCTACAGAAGGCCTTTGTTCACCCCCCGGAGCCGTGTGAGACACTTTTTTTTTATGGATGGGCGCTTTTTATTTAACTTGTTTTGGACTGAAGCATGCAACACCCGCTGAGTGCCATGAAACAGCTTGAAAGATCAAAGACAATTTTTAATATAACTCCGACTGGATTTGTCTGCAAGAAGAAAGTCATATACACCAAGGATGACTTGAGGGTGAGTAATTTATGAGCTAATTTTAATTTTTTTTGTCTGTCCCAGTTTCAAACATATTATGTCTAATGCTTCTCAGAAGACAAAGCTTAAGGGCGAGAGCAAGCAGCATTTTAGACTGTGTGTTCCTCCCTGCCCGTGTTACATTACAGGTGGGGATACACACAGTTTATGTTGTGTGGTGGAGCTCGCACAGTCAGCTCTCGAGGGGGCTGATTGTGCTTCTGCAGACGCTCCGCTCCCCCTGGGCATGCTTCAAGGAGTGTGTCCGTGCTTGTGACCTTGCGGTTCCAGTCCCACTGCTGCTGAGGCATGGTGGCAATTGAGATTGCGGGGATTGCACATGGATCTAGCGGACCGCACATGGATCTAGCGGACGGGTTGGACACTGGCTTGCCCTTTCTCCGCCTGCACTCTCTAGATCAAGCACTCTCTCTTGGGTTTCGGAAGCCCGCACTGCGGTCTCTTCCCCTTTTGAGTGAGAGCTCGCTGCTGCAGCTATCTTTCTCTGAGGAGATTGAGATTGTTTGCATATGAGAAGACTGCTTTTGGATTGCCCTGCCCTTGCTAAATAAGGGGTGGGGATGCACGCGATATATGTGTAGTATGTTTTGGAGCAGAGCACGCACAGCTCTCGAGGGGGCTGGCTGTATTATTTCTGTAAATGTCCCTAAAAAAAAAGAAAAGGGGCATTACATTGGATGTTTAGCTCTGCTCCCTCTGAAGTTTCTTCTCGAGAGAATAAAGTCTTATGAATGTAGAACCGAGTGGCTCGCGCGTTACCGAGGCAATGTCTGGTTGTTTAGCTGCATTTAATTCTGAGAAATTAAATTATGTATATTTGTTTGGCTTTGAGAAGTATAGTATATATGTTATATTATTCAGCAGGGACTGTAGAAGGGCCTCCCCTTTCTCCTCCCTCACTTTCTATAAAGCGAGTTATATATTCTATACAGCAGGTGTTTACCTCTCTTCCTCCGAGGAGGTTGATGTGGTCAGCAGGGACTGCAGGGCGGGAGCAGCCCCAGCCATGTTCCAGCTCCTCATTCAGGGAGCGCCACTTCTCGTACTCCCCAGAATTTGGAGTCAGAGTGGCACTCCCGGGCCGAAGGCTTCTAGCAGAAGGCGGATCTGTGGACCGTCATTCTCGCTGGATAGTCTCCGGCTAAAACTTCCTGACGCCTATGGACCAGGACTTCTGAGGGCCAGCCCCCTCTGTACACCTCATTATACAGTGCCCATCTCTCCTCAGTGCCCTCAGGAGATCGGTCTGTCAACCCTGCCACCCACGGTGCTTCAGGGCACAGCGGTCTCCAGCGAGCGCAAATCTCAGTGTCCACCCGGAAACATAGCCATTCTGGAGGGCTCAAAGGAGGTCTCTAGAGTAGCTAGTTCGGTCATCCCCTGCCGGTCCTCCGCTTCAGGGCACCGAGCTGGCCGCTATAAGTACATCAGAGGCCAGTCTTGTGAGACTGGTTCCCTTAGTAGGTCACCTGGCGGTGTGGGAGCCCCTGCCAGCGCAAATCTCAGTGTCCACCCGGAAACATAGCCGTTCTGGAGGGCTCAAAGGAGGTCTCTAGAGTAGCTAGTTCGGTCATCCCCTGCCGGTCCTCCACAGCTGGCCGCTATAAGTACATCAGAGGCCAGTCTCGTGAGACTGGTTCCCTTAGTAGGTCACCTGGCGGTGTGGGAGCCCCTGCCAAACGTGTCTTATTGGGTCCTGACCCGAGCAGGCTCTGGTTCTATCAGTCTAAGTCTTCCTATGAGATGACGGGTCTGAGGACCGTCATTTTCAATAGGAGACTTCAGCCAAAAGAAAGTCCTGGTGCCCATGGCTCAGGACTTCTGAGGGCATGCCCCTCTGGCGAAGAACGGTGTACACCTCATTATACGGTGCCCATCTCTCCTTAGTGCCCTCAGGAGATCGATCTGCCAACCCTGCCACCCACGGTGCTTCAGGGCACAGTGGTCTCCGGCGAGCGCATCTCTCAGTCTCCACCCGGAAATGTAGCGGTACTGAGAGGTCTCTAGAGCAGCTCCCCTGCTGGTCTGTCGCTTCAGGGCACTGAGCTAGCTGCTCTGATTACATCAGAGGTCAGTCTCGAGAGACTGATTTCCTTAGTAGACTATTTGGCAGCGTGGAAACTTCTGCCAAATGTGTCTCAGTGGGTCCTGCACACTGTAGAGAGAGGCTATAGAATCCAGTTTGGTTCTCCTCCACCTCGTTTCAACGGGGTCATTCCCACTCTGGTGGGCCCCCAGCAGGCTCTGGTAATGAACAAGAAGTAAACACTCTCTTGAGGAAGGAGGCCATTGAGGTGGTCCCTCCTCTCGACAGAGAGTCCGGGTTCTGCAGTTGGTACTTCATTGTTCTTAAGAAGGATGGATGGTTGCGTCTCATTTTAGATCTGCGTCAACTGAACCGCTCAGTCATGTGACTGAAGTTCAGGATGCTTACACTCAAGCAAGTCGTGTCTCAGATCAGGTCCGAGGACTGGTTTGTCACGATCGATCGATCTAAAAGACGCATACTTCCATATCTCTATTCTTCCTCAACGCAGGAA